CAGCCATGCTGGCTGTGGAATTCTGGGAGTTGAAGTCCACTCATCTTCAAGTGGCCAAGTTTGGACAACACTGTCCTAGAAGAAAAACATTTATCCTCACCATAAAATTACTAACAGTTTTCTAAAGGAAGTTGCTTTAATGTAACGTTTATTGGTTATGCATACTATACGTTGAATAGATACTGACAATCAAGTCTTCATGTATTTTCTAAAGGCCAAAAAAGCTAATAAAAAACAAATGAAAGAGGTGGCTCCTACATGAAACTAATCAATAAATACTGTGGCAGGTAGCAACTGGCCCTGCAAAAATCAGTGAGGCACTTATCTTTTATTGTATAAACCACATCTGGCACCTCTTTTCCACCAGCTATCCATAGTTTCACCATAGCAGAGCATAGATTAACTAGCCCTGCCTATATAGAAACCTACAGGAAAGCAATCTTTAGGTATAGCTGTAATGTAAATATTACCATGCAATATGAAGACCCAACTTCCTAAGACTTCCTTGTTGCAGATGCTTGCACTGAGTGCGAACAGATTACAAGGTTATTTGGTACATGCTATATTTATGTATGCATTTAGATAACAAATTCCTGAGAGACCTAGGATTGTACACCAAAACAGGCTGAAACAGGATTGCTAGTTTGTGGCTTGGTGTGCTCAAATGAACATGGCTACGGTAGAGATTCTCCATCTCTCAGTCTTTTTTAACCTAGGAGAATGACATCAGGAAGACTTTCTCATATGGCCATTAATCAGTTTCCCTGCTCAGCTCAACAAAGGCCACCATTAAGATAATGAGACTAGAAGCAATGTCTATTAGTAAAATATAGCAGAACTGAATCAGCTAGTATATATAAACAGATAGTTAATAAAAGAGAGTTAGATGATTTGGAGACAGATAAAATCTTCTCTCAAATTATTTTTGCCAAGCAAAGGTACTACAAATGTGTTAATAAAAATTCTAGAATACTGGCAAGTAAATTGAAAAAAGCTAAGGAAAAAATTCAAACTTTTTTTCAGCAATTATCTTTTGGTTACTTATGAACAGTGAATATAGGTAAAAAACTAAAGCTAATTTCTTGATACAGTAATATAATCCTTTTCCCCCCCTCTCCCAATAGGTTACTATTCTCATCGGGAGACTATAAATGGTTCTTGGTATATTCAAGATCTGTGTGAGATGATACGAAAGCATGGCGCTTCCCTGGAATTCACAGAATTACTGATGCTTGTTAACAGGAAGGTGGCTCATCGCAGGGTGGATGTGTGCAAAGATATTCAAGCTATAGGAAAAAAACAGATCCCTTGCTTTGCATCAATGTTAACCAAAAAACTGCATTTCCGCCCCAGATCATAGTAGCATGGTGGAGTACTGACCATTTTTGGGCGTGGAGGTCATGGGTGGTGGTGGTGGGCTCTGCAGACTCAAACCAAAACATATGGTACTCTTGAAATAGTTTGCAGCTTAAAATTTTTATACATTTACTTGAAAATATGCCCCATTAAACTCAGTGAGACTTGGTTCTGAGTAGACATATAGAATTGCACTGTTAATTTAAAGTATATGTTTAATTGGTATATAGTCTTGTTAGTTTTCCTGAAATGAGATCTCCAGGAGATGAATTAAAATTGTTACAAACTCATATACAGACCCATGCAGTAAAATCACAACCAACAACAGCAGCTTTTTGTAATGCTGTTAATATAAATAGGAAGTTTCAGAACTTAAAAGAATTAACTAAATGGCAAAGAGAAATTCAAATTTTACTTTAAAAATTGGGAAAAAAAAACTTCTGTGAAGTTTAACATCTCAGGCAGAAATACTTTTATACAGCCTTTGAAATTGTTAGATGTTCTGCTATCCTCAGGGAGTTTTAAAAATAAGGTCAGCATTGACATTGGGGTAATAAAGGAACAGTTAATCAACAGCTAGCTGTCTTTAGCTTTATATTCCATAATGGATATTATAATGGATATTTTGTATTAAGATTGGTAAAATTTTTATACTTTTGTTTCTACACGTATACTGTCTTGTGAGAATCATTTTCTTAATCTGTTTGTACCTCATGAAGTGTTCTCCTCCCACACTTAACATTCTGGAAACACGAATCATGCAGCCTTCATTGAAATTGTGACTCTAGTTAGTTGCAGCAGCTCCTGAAAGCCTGTGGAGTTACTGCAACTTGACTGACTCAGACATTGCACTATTTTCCATGCAAACAAGCCTTAGCTAGTACTTTGATCTGTGTGGATGATGTCAAAGAAGGTTAATTTGTGCCTGAGAAACCTTGCTGTCATAAATCTGTCAGGGCCTGTGTACATGTTACATATGTAACTCACTACAACGTTGAGATAGTTTGTGCATGTGTATATTATAAGGAACATTTTTTTTTTCTTAACATCCTAAACAGAACACTCAGAAGACATCCAAAACTAGTATCTGTTTTTATTTAGTTCATTATGAAAATTACATTCAAATATAAGCACCCCAGAATAAAATAATCCTTTAAAAACATTGTTTTGTTTAATTAAGAATGGATTGGCTATCCAAGATTAAGATGGATTAGCTGCTTGTTCTTTCTAAACTCGAATATTGCAGAGAAATAATATATACAAAATGTATGATTTTGTTTTTTTTCAGTAAAATCTTGTACATTCAGCTTTAATATAGTGGGTCAAAATGTCCAGTTTCTAATTTTTTTGAGGCAACTCAACAGGCTAAAGCTTAAACAGAATTAATCTTTGTCATTGATTTCTTGCACTGGAAGTCGTAGTTGTAAGGGGTTCCTCAGTCGTTTCAAGGATTCTTCCACCTGACAGTGTAAAAGAAAAAAAAGTTGATGAGTTCATGGTTTAAACAGTTGTAAATGGCTTCCACAAATCAAGCTCTACACTGTTCAATCATATATTTTGATAACCAGGGCACCCTATTAACTTGAATGTCCATCTCTCTTTTGTATAGAATTAAATGTGACTCAATTAGACTTAGCTTTTAAAATTAGGAAGCTGATTTAGCTAGCAGGCAGCAAGACACTCTGAAATAAACTTTGTATACATTCTGTTTTATATCCATGGATGCTGAACCTACTTAGCCAGGGTACAATAAATTATTGACTAAATGACTAACATAGGAAAGAATCAGCTTAACTGTAATCAACTGCAAACGTTGAATTGGATTTGCAATATGCAATATGTTAGTTATACATAATTATGGACTAACTTTGCAGGATCTGGACATAGTCCTGCAGTATATTTCAAGATACTTAAAAGAGTGAAGAAGAGATGGTAACAGAAAGGAAAAGATTATCCAAAGACATCTTAGCATATACACTGAATGAATGTGCTAAGCTCAGAGAGCAACAGAAGCTGTGCATTTGTGATTATGTTGCATTAAATCTACAGTTGTTTGGCAGGTGAATGTACTATGTAGCATGCCATTAGTATTCTTCCTGGCTGAGAAAGGTATCTTGACCACAGTTACTGGCAGCAGAATTAGTTTGGGCAAGACAGACTCAATGCTTTGGCTAGATTACCATTCCTGTGTTAAGTGATTGTGGACTAGAAGTAGTTGCTCTATGATTTGGCCCAAACTGTATTGTGCAGTTAACATATTCTGAACAAACGTGATAGTTGGATACTCTCCAAGTCATCCTTCATCAATTGGAAGATCTGAGTAAATTGGCAGGTTCAGTTTATTTTGTTTAAAACCTACTAAAGCTAACATATTAGCTTTTGCAGGCAGCAAAGCAGATAATCTGGAAGATTTCCATCTCTTCCCCTACACACTATTTGCAGATGCTATAACAGATGGAATTGGAAGAAGTCCCACAATGTAACATGACTCCTTTCCTTTCCTCTCAAGGACTGTGAATATGCATTTAAAGCATACGTTTCAGACATTAAGACTGAACAGTTTTCTGTGCACAAGAAAAGGAGGTAACGCTTGCAGTCATGGCTGCAAATAATTGAGTTTCAAAACGCACTGAAGCCCCTTTCAGTGACCCCTTGTGCAACCAATATCATGTATCCTATCTTATTGTTGTGAGCCAGATACGTGCTCTAAGATGAGAGGCCATACAAATCAGATAGACAGACAGACAGACAGATTTATGCAATTACCTCTGCCAGATCCTCTTTTAGCTTGTTATACTGAACCACATTGAAGTTCTGGCTTTTGGATTTCTGGTGAAAATAGTGGAGGAATTGCCTGTCTTGAGCATCTGGATAAATATAATCCTCAATATGACAAAGAAAAAAAAACAATCCAGTAAGTCTAAATATCAATCAACCGATACAGAAAGCCTCCCCTGGCCTAAACATGGAAGTCTGCAAAATACAAATTTCTATTTCAAGCTCAGTCCTCCTTTTAAAATGAAGCAAATGGAGCATTATGTGGATTTTTAGATTCCATTAAACCAGGTTGTTTTAACTATGATGTACTAAAATTCTAATTGCACTCAATAAAGCTACAAGCTTGGCCATACAAAGTGTTTTGGAACAGAACCTTTAGCTCATGGGATACTACTTCAACAATATAATCTCAAATACAAAGATCTCACATTTCTAGAAAGGTACTATTAAGGATTGATTTCCATGATCAGGTTTCTGTAGAAATAATAATGCTCATTTATAATTAACACCTCTACTAATATTAGATTATTATTATTAATAATATAATATAATATTAATATATTATATATTATAATATAATAATAATAGAAAAATACTTTCAGGATATGGCAATGTGATTACCACAGGGGAAATTCTTCTAGCAATTTTTACATGAAGAGAAATGGGAAGAGTGGTCCCAGGATCTCTCTTTGATATATTTTTCTTTAAAGCTTTAGAATCCCCAGATAATTGAATAAGGAGTAATAGAAAGGCAGATCAGTCCTCCTTATTCAATTATCTGGGGATTCTAAAGCTTTAAAGAAAAATATATCAAAGAGAGATCCTGGGACCACTCTTCCCATTTCTCTAAATGGGAAGAGTGGTCCCAGGATCTCTCTTTGATATATTTTTCTTTAAAGCTTTAGAATCCCCAGATAATTGAATAAGGAGGACTGATCTGCCTTTCTATTATTCTAAAGACTGTTAATTTAAAAAATAGATAATCTGTTCCTGCACTGCATGCACAAGATACATAGACTGTATTAATTTTGTAGGTGCTATCTTGTAAATATAATGAACAGCAAATATAAACCTGAAGCATTTGAGACTTTACTAATCAACCAAACTCTCTGAACAACTTGCAGAACTTTTGAAAGCAGACATCCTACAACCTAGCTCTCAGAGTAAAAGTTAATATCTTAATACTTCAAAGGCTTGCACATGTATGCTTCAAATTTCAAGCAGTCAGAACTGATTTTTTGTGTGTATATATTACCCTAACAGATTACTTACCTGCTTAGTAAGTACAAAGTAAGCATAGAATGCCATGGCACTTCCATAGGTGATAAAGTAAGTAACAGGTTCCATAATATCCCATGAGTAGACCCACCAGGTTAGCCAAGCCAGAGCTCCACCCTGAGTAGACATTAAGGCTAAACCAATCCAGAGAAGGCGAGAAGTCTTCGCATCAGTATCTGCTGCAATTCTAGCCTTCATCTAGGAACAAAACAGCCATGTTATGCCCCAAAGGGTTCAGTTATACTCCTCTCCCACTTGTCATGTAGTATTTAGAACTGCATTTGCAAATTTATACTTCCATATGGAATTTGGAGTTCATCCAAACACATTCTAATAGTTTCTTGAGCATAAAGCTTCCTTTATAAATTCAGTCCTAACACCAATGGTTACTGCTTTCAAGGAAGACATTTCAGAATATGACCTGTGATACATCTTTCGATTTTTTAGACTCTCCCAGATAGTCTTCCAACCGTTTTTTCAGAATAATGTTGTTCTCTGTAGATCTCACTTAGAAAAATGCAGCTATTCAGGTCTAGTTTTTCATCTCATATAACAGATTCAAGATTTAGCTTGCAGGTTATCAATTTCCATATGAATTTATTAAGAATTTTCCAAACCTGTTCTAAAGGGAGCAGTTCTTCTTTCAAAAGTTCCATTTTTTGCAGTAGCTCTCTCTCTTTGCTTGTCTGGTGCTCTTCTAAATGAAGTGCTACAAATAACTTATGGACTGTTGACTTGATGTCATCTATCTCTGTGGCATGCTCTGTGCTCATTTTATCTGAAAGAAGAGTGAAGCCTGTGTCATTACAATTACTTATAACCATCCACACTCTCAAAAGGTATGCAGGGGACTTTCTCCAGAAACAGACTGTCCAAACTTCATGCTATTTCTCCTGCTACTACTGGTTGGACTAAACACATGTATACAATTTGATTTGAATAATTTATTTAAAAGGCAGAAGTTAAAAGCTTTTATGGTGAAAGTAAAAAATATCACTATGGTTTATTAAAGCACAAGTAATTTCAAAGTTTAAATGCTTATGAAAAGATTCAAACTAAGCAAACATTTGAGGATTTAAGGCTGCAATCCTATACAATTTCACTCTCAAGTAAAGTCCCACTAAACTCAGTGGAATTAATTTCTGAGCAGACATGCACACTTAGTTTTCACTGGATTTTAATTTTAAACAGTTTGGTAATCATTAAAGATTCCAGACCATTTCAGGATGGCCATGAAGTTAAGTACCTTTCAGTGGTGTACGCACACTATATTCTGCATGATTGACAATGAGTTTAAAATCATTCATTAACAGAACTTCCATCAATGCTGAATTTGAAATCTTGCTGCCATCTGCAGGAGAGAGAAGGCATTTCAGGGAAAGTAATAAAAGCCTACACAGATTTCTTTTAAAATATATTGCCATGCTGATTGCAGTCTGTTCTAAGCAAAACTTCCCTACAGCAATGTTTACTGGAGTAAGTGGTTTTTATGCCAGTCCTATGACCAGTGAAATCCATAACCTGACTATACATGGATAAGGTGAGCTTTTCTTCCAAAACCAATAGCATTCCTCTTATTCTGTGCATTGGCTTCACAGAATAAGAGGAATGAGTTGAACTTTGTGTCCGGTATGTCATCATCTATTTTTGCTCCTCCACTCCGGGCTACTACCTACATTAAATAAATTAAGACAGCTAACTACTTTCAAGCAAATGTCAATTCAGTACAAGATTTGGAAAGTTTTGACCCTCAGAATAAATTCAGAAATCTTAGAGAACATCTTTTCTATAGATTATTTCTGACCCAGCCCTCTAGAAAAGTCACATTTTTTTCCTCAGGGTATACCTAAGAAGTAGAATTTATAGGGTTTGATTCTTGACCAATAAAGCTTTGAACTATCAACTTGCATGTTAGCTTGAAAGTTGGCCTATCCTAATTGACTGTTAATGCTCTTTTAAATTGCTATTTAATTAAGGTGTTTAACATTGCTTCTGTGAAAGAGTCTCATCAGCCTGTCCTTGTGAACTCCTTACATCCAACCTTACATTTACAGATACTGCAGTTAAAAGTCTCAAAATGAAATCAAAGAAGAAACACCCCAACATATTGTACATCCATCTTGGAAATATTAACTTCAGTGGATGTTAAAGAATTGAAAACTGGTTAAGGGAGAAAGCCCAACAATAGATGGGCTCTTTCAGAAAGACTTGAAGAAATATTTAAAACAGCAAACAAAAAAGATAACCCACAGAATGTTTATGCATTCAGATCTTCCTTGCTTACTAGTGTCATAGAAATAATGTTGAACCTGGATATGGATATTGAACTTCACCCAACATTGTAAATATAGGAAACTTACAAAATTAGACTAATTGTCCATCTGGACCAGTTTTCCTTACTCTTGAGTTTCTCAGTGCAAGTGTCTCTCTATTAGGAGTCCTTTCCCGATCACTTGCAATTTGATCTTTTAATTGGAGATATCTGACATTGTATGTGAAACACATGCAAAACAGTTCATGGAATATGCTTGGAATAAAAGTAATATGGAAAATGCTTGGAATAAAAGGGCCCCAACTGACATGTTCTGAACTGATGATATCCCAGTTGCACAAAACTTGAATCTTCCCCCACTGGGGCTGTGGTCTGCTGTCTAGAACTGCTTTCATACATATAAAGCAGCATGTGATGTCTGTAATCCAAGAACCAAGGACCATCAGAGGGAGACTATGGAGAAAGACGACGGTTGTATTGAATCACGGTTGTGATTCAAGTAGTACAGTCCTGAGAGCTCCCAGTGTGCATCACTCAAATGATATGAGCCAACAAATCAAGCCAGCATGATTCAGGTGAGTCAGTGATTCTGAGTACACCCAAGCAGTTAATGTTTGAGGTCTTGCCTTTTATCAGCTATACGTGAGTAGTGGATGCCAGTGGACTGGAAGGTGAGATAAGAGGCTAGTCCTCACCCCCACTCTAGCAGAAGTCAGGACATTGCATCAAGGGAAGCTTTCCTTTGAAGAAGAAAAGTTGCTCTATAAAGTCCACATCTAAGCATGTGCAGTGGCTTGTCAACATGTCACCTACCCTGGAGAACATTTTCTTGTTCAGGATGCTGGTTGATGGGCAAGAGACATACCACTGTGTCTAAAAGCCTAGTTAGCCTGAGTCCTGGCTGCTTAAAATAGGAGATCCATGTTCTCCCTTTCTTCTGGCTTACTTGAATAGTTCAGAATTTCATCTAGAAATCTCTCTACCAGAGGAGACTGTCATTGCTCATGATGTTCACCCTGGGTAATACAGTCTAGCAAGCACAAAAGCTTGCTTGCCACCCATTGGTCTCAGCGCACAACTTCAATGTGACAGTGGTCTGCCCAATCTCTACTATCTCTGCTATGAACTCTGCTTAAGCTCTTCAGGATAAATTGCTGATGTTCTTATTTAAATGAATTTTCCTTCCTAACAAATGTTTTGAAATAAATATTATAAGTGGTCCCTTATTATATCTACAGCATTCAAAGTTAAGAAAGTAAACTGTTCATCCAACATTACTAACAGCACATGTTCCTGACTATGAGTTTTTTCCCTTGTAAATTTCTTTCCATTGCCTCATTCAGAGCTCCCACTTACTTCTTGCTGCTGAAAGGATGAAAAATTGAAAGAAAGTGAAGGAAAAAAGCAGTAACAGTGAGGGTTGACGCAGATAGATTTTAGTGGGTGTCCTGCCAGGATGTAACCGTGGCACATTTTGAACATTAAGAATGTGTCTTAGACTTTGCAATACCTGTAAAGAGCTGGAACAACCTTGATTTTCAAGGTGATACCAGCATTAGTACCTGCTGTGAAGACTTCTACCTTTTCAATTGCATTATCTTCTCTCTTTATGTCCCGTAAGAAGGTGCCCACAGTTGTTAGCATTGGCTTGACAGTAAACTGGCAACGTTCTTTTCTTGAAGGTAACGTAAGTGTTATCACAGGCAGACCATGTTTATAATGAACAGTTACTTCTGCAAAAAGAAAACAGAAGGGAGAAAGATAAGTATGTGTATGTATGTATGTATGTATGTATGTATGTAT